AAAAAAAAAAAAAGAATCAGCACAAAAGAACATTTTTGGTGATGCTCGATGAAATTTCCTACAGATAATTAAAAGGGCAAGGCTGTAACTAGTGGATGTACGTCCACTAACATATTCGAATCGAATGTGTGAATATACAATGGGAAACAACACACACACACACACACACACACACATACACACACATTTAGAATTTTTCAAAAGGAAATCTCTATATATTCAAGATGTGTCGGGTAATTGAAACGGATTATATGTCGAATTTGGTAACAGAGGTATCGAGGGAAAAGTTGAATGATATCATAACGAATCATTAATGCAATTAATGCACTCCAAAAATGCAAACGCATTGCACGATAAATTTTTTTTCTTTCTTTTCTTTCTATGGAGTTTAGTGACGACGGTGAGGTATAACGATTTTAGACGTATGAGTAGATCTTTGAGGTATTTTAATACTTTCTTGCGAGGGCATCCAAAGCCCAAATTTTCAGGTGTTTGAATTTATTCCGTATTCTCTGTCTTTGGGTTTCTATGTTATGACACTCATGCAGAATGTGGGCGACCGTTAACCGATGATTATTGCAATGGTTGCAGATGGGTGGTGCAGTTTTTTTAATTAGGTATTAGTCTGTCCAGTTCTTAGGCGAGTGTAATTCCTCCTTTTTCGTTGCTATTTGTTTGCTGTTTGTTTGTCGAAAAATCGGAAAAAATACATTCATGTAGATGCATGCTTTCAGCTGCGATCTAAGTATTGTTCCATTCGTTTTTTTTATTATTTTTTTTTGCACCGGTTTGTTCGGTCTTCGCAAGGGATTGGAATGTGATTGCCTTTGTTAGTAGATGAAGATGCTGTGGCTTGTTTTGCTGCTGCGTCGGTCTTTTCGTTTACATCTATCCCTTCGTGACTTTTGGTGCAGCTCTTACGTACGGTGGTTAGTTTAATTGGTTCTCCTAGTCATATCTTCCCATTAGGGGTCATCTTGTGAGAATTCTGACGTGCAGTCGATTGATGCTTCCCTTTCTAGCGTCTTGGCAGGATTAGTAAGCTTTTTACAGAATCGGTGAATTCTCTCTTTAAGTTTGAGTTAGGTTTTTTCAAGCGTTTGTATGACCTGCCAGGATGTTGTCGGTGTATAGTTTCCAGTAGTATTCAATGCTGATCCGAACGTATCCTGTAGGAGGCTTTTGAGCTGTGAGTAGTTTAAGCTGTGCTTAGGATTTGTATTGTTGATTATATCTTTGACCAATATTTCCTCAAGTTTAATGTGATTGGATACTGAAGATTGGAAGACTGTTGGTTTTCACTTGGTGTAATTTTTTTTAGGTGAATTGGTTGGTGGAAGCCAATGAAGTCTATGTCATTTAGGCTCACATAGTCAGGTTTGGCTGATGTTTGTGACAAAGGTCTTTTGATACTGGAAGAGTTCTATAGTTTCTCTGTAGGTAATTTACAGTTGTTTTCTGTTTATCAATGTTTGTCTGGATAGTATTGGGAATCTTGCCAGCAGTTTGTG